CTGTACATTTCCCTGTTTTCGAAAAAATTACGCTCGTTCGCCTATCAACGAGTCTGTGGAGTCTATTTTCACAAGATAACAGAGAGACGTGTCACGCATACCTCTCCTCCGATATCTCTCTTCTTTCTTCATTCCCCTTTCCCTCTCTCTCGTCCTTTACACGCTTTACGTTTCGTTTTAAAGGCAATCTTTTACGAGACAATGACGACATTCCGTGCAATCTACCGTAACGACCTTTGATGTCGAATCTCCCCGCGGTCGATGAAGATAATGCTCGTGTCTCTCGGCCGTGACCCGTGTCGATAGTATCTCGTGAATAAAAAAAAAAAAAAAAAAGAAGGAAAGAAAAAAGAAAAAAACTAGTTAACGAGCTTCAAAGGGTAGATAGAGCGTGGACACGAGTCACCCAAGGTGTCGTGTCAATTACGCTTATATACATATCGTTGAGCACGAGAAATAGAAAATAATTCGAACGCAAACTGTATGTACGTTCAATCTGTGGATTGGCTTGGAAACAAAGAAACACAAATCGTTATATGTTACATATAAATTAACGAATTAAATATTGAAGATTTCGATCGTATCATTATACCTTGTTTTAAGAAGTTTGGAGGAGGATGTTGTCAATCGTAGAGAACATCCTCGTTTCGAAGAGAACAATGATGTTTAAAGTCGTTTCTCCTTTAGTCAATTCGACAGCGATTTATTATCGCCGCCGATAATAGAGAAAGAGGGAAGGATACTTAGAAATTCACTGCATTCACCGAGGTGCATCACGCCAGGCGGAAATCACGCTCCTCTTTCTGGTTTCCTTTCTTAGAAACTCCATTCCGTATCGAAAAATTCACATCCATCAAAATCCTCTTTTCTCACTGTCAAAATTTATTCCTCTCTTAAATTTGTTTCTATCGTTTCGAAAACTTGGTCCATTAATATGGTTGTCCAGTCGTTAAATATCGAACACTGAACTTCGGTCATTAATATCGACGGATAGTAACGGCAGTAATCACATCTAGAATGTTAAGTCAAATTTCTTTCAAACTCTTAATAAATAATATCATATTTTCATTGGAAATACATTGCAAACCAATTATCGTTTCGTTTTTAATTCTAAATAAAATCTACTTTTCTAATTCTTTCAAAATTACTAAAATTAAAAAACATTTATTTATGATTAAATAACTTTCGATATCAAACCATTTACAATCGAAGATCAGGCGCAGAATGAAATTATATATATATATCTTATTACGATTTACAAGCGCACTCGATCCCATCACTATCGATGAAACATTACGTCCACGCGCTGGATATTATTGCATTAATCGCAACAAAGCTGTCTTTAACGCGATAAAAACCCTATTATTATTATTATTTTCGGAAGCCTCGAGGCTGGCTTTGTCGTAGCTCGCATTAGCGCAAAGTGAATCCAACCCCCCTGGAGCGTGTTACGCCATTACGAGAATTACCAGCGTGCGGCGCCCCCGATGTTTTTCTCCGTGTTACCGTAAAATTGCCCCGTTTATCGGGATTCATTGTCCTCCCTCGCCGTCCCGTATTCGCACGATGCAACACGCCGATTGGACGTGAGAAGAAGAGGGGGATGAAACTGGTGTCGACTGGCAATGTCGAATTAATTTCCGTCGCGCCATTGTCACCTCGTTCGGCCGATAAACGTTTTCGAGAAGTGACGTTATTGTTTCGATTCAACGTGTCATATAATCGGCCTTTTCCCTTTTTTTTTTTTGTTGTTTCGACAGATTTCGTTGCATTCCGCGCCGGGAGAGGAGTCGATTATGAATCGTCTGGAACAAGGGAGTACGTTAGATTTTGTAAAATTTTCACGGAGGAACGTGAGAATTCGTTACTCACGTTTGAAAAAGTAAATGGTAATCTAACGAGGAGAAATTCGTTTGTCGATTGCAAATTGGACGTGAAAATTATTGTTTCCGTTAATTTTTCAAAACGATCTCTCGATCTGTGGAAACTGAACACTGGGTTGCTGTCAAGGAAAATTTGGAAAGTAAGTAGAGAAGTAAAATTTTTCTTAAATTATTTTTAAATTATTCTGTATATGGAATGAAAAAATTCCTGTCACATTTTAAAACGAAATAAAATTCAACAAAAGAACGAATTGTCTATTTAAGATTGAATCTGAAATTAGAACAGAATGTTCTATAATTTATTTTTTCCTTTTAAAGACTATTCGAGATGATAAAAAAGATCAGACAACGCCTTTCCTCCATTTCCATTTTCTTGATCTTTAGCACCATTGTACCAAAAAATTCGTCTAAACGTCCTTTTCGAACATTCGTTCCAATTAACATTTCAATTTCCTCCCCCCCAACAATCGTTCATTATCCGTGATCAGACAATGTAACGCTGAGAAGAGCTGGTTGATTTATAGGAGAAAAGGGTAGAGAGGTACACGGATAACATGCAAAATAGTAGCGAGGCAAAAGGATCTCATTGTTACGTTCGTTTCATTAAACGACACCATTCTGTAAGGGATGTTTATGTCGTTCGTTGAATCAGGTATTGTTCACTTAGTCGGCCATGATCCTAGGTGTAACATTCATTTAACGAGGGGAGGAGAATGGTAAAATTGCAGCGAGTCATGATGTTCCTCTAGGCTACCGTAGAATTTCATACCAGGGTCATGGTAATCGGATTCTCGATTCAAACGCTTTCATGCGCGATTCATTTTATATTTCTCGATAGCGAAAAGTGGTTAAACCGTGGAAAAATATGTTTAATGGTGCGATCATTTACCATTTCAAACCATTTATAGAATTTTACTGTAATAATCAGAGTGGGGGGGGAAAAGTGGATGAATGATATTTTGTACGATAAAATGAACTCGTCGTCGTTATGTATAGTGGCTCATGAAAAATTAATTAATTTTGAAGAGATTCACTTTGGAAAATATAAAATTCTGGATTGTATCTGGAAAAACTTATTGAAACTTTCACAGCATTGATTTCATTTCTTTAATTAAAGTGATATTCTGCTGAAACGAAATTTCTCTTTTCGAATGAATTTCTCTTTAGGATACTTTACCTGGCAGGCATTTATTCCAAGATAAAATAAATAACGCCAATTAATGTTCACAGCTACGAAATCAATATTCGCTATATGACGCACCGTTTAAAAAATATTCGAACAGAAGAAAATGTACTTTCATTTAACCGTAACATTTAACACGTTCGATAAACCTTTTTTATTTTGATTCACTCCGCGAAACTGCTTGTTTATTTTCGAAAATCACACGCAAACGCATGCCATTTTGTTACTTCAAATATTATAAAATCGTATTGTCAATGTGTGACAATATTCCATATATCTCTGCTTTATTTTATTTCCTTACGAATTTTTCTCGAATTCCCATACGTGTTGTTTCGTATCGATTCATAACTATTTATATGTTCCAATAAATTGAAATCGTGAAAAATAAAAAAAGGTATATATCGTTGTCCATTTTCGAGTTATTTGGATAATCGAGTACGTATAAAAATAATATTCGAACATTAATATCTTCAACTTGATGAAATTAAATATATTGAATCATAAATTGAAGAGATTCTTTTATTTGTCGTGATTGGAAGAAAAATAATTTTTCTTATCTTGTTTATCTGTTAAAGATACATAAATTTTGCTAAACTTCTCGAGCTATAAAATGTGTCGTTTACTTCGTGGAAGATGGACCAAGTGATAAATTGAAATTGAACAGGCGTAATGGTTATGCGAGAAGTTTCGATATCGGGAGAATTTGCAATTTAAACGAGTCGACTTGTTCTTGATTTACATTAATCCCATATTTGTTATCGTGTTATATCTCATAATTAATATAATTTTATACGCGTGGCATAAAATGTTTGTAAATATTCCTCTTTAAAAGTTAATTGAGAAACATTATATCGAAGATATAATTTCTCCTCCAGAACTTTCTCCAGAATCGTGTTCAACATCGGCTGCAAGTGAAGTTAAAAATTCGTTAGAGAGAGAGTTCAAGATGTATCGAAGATGATTGTCGAAGAAAAACAAGATTTTATTCTAAAATCTAATTATTCCTCGATGATTCCTTTAACTATGCTATAATTATAAATATTAATAGAAGTTTTCTTACCTGACCTATAAACATATTTTTACATTTGAAACGAGCAAGATTATGAATAATTAATTAGATTGTAGTTAATTCCGTTTGAAAAGTCTTTTAACAGTAAATATGTTAGGTAATCAAGGAAGTTTCTTTCACGATAAAAAAAATATAAATATATAACTAAGGAGGAAACATTTATAAAACCTTATTAGCATCTTATACGTAGCTGCGAATGATTATCGAGATTTAAAATTGACTCTGATCGCATTCAACACTTGTTACGTCTCTTGCATTTTTCCTTTTCCACGGAAAATAGAAATTTTTCAAAATCTTGATCTTTTTTTAGTTACTCGATAATTTTGCCTCGTTGAAATTATACGTATTTCTCGAATCCTCGACGTTGCTTGCATTCCTTGCACTTTAAAAATAATAAAAAAAAAAGTTTCCAGCGTCGATCATCATGATGAGGAAAAAGCCTGCAAAACGGACGAGTAAACTACATATACACAAAAAAAAAAAAAAAGGCAAAAATTCATAGCGATACGATTCGATAAGTTCGTTTACCCGGTGAAAGCGGCACAGCAAAAATTGTGTTTCAAGCTTAATCGTACGGTTAAGGTTCGGCTTGTTTAACCAAAACTGGAGATCGCGCCAGATCCATCCGGATTGCTCCATTTGCGGATAACTAGATAAATATAACTTCGTCAAACTGTTACTATTTTCTGTTTGCAACAATGCACGTACGCGTAACGCGTTTACCCGCGTCTTATAAAAGTTGAAACTGCGTTGTAACTGCATTGCAACGTTGACCCAATTCCCTCCCCCCCCTCCTTTATCCGCGTATCGACAAGCCGTGTTGAAAATATTCGGATGAAAAACAAAAACAGAGAAGTCAGGCTTGTTATCCATATGCAAGTCTTTATTACAACACAAATATCCGTGGTGCTATGCTCGGATAGAAGATAGAAAAAAAAAAAAAAAAAATCTCCATTGTATCGAACCCTGGGCGGCAATCAATGCCAACCGCATGCAAAGTCGATCTCCGGTTATCCTTGCGCACTTTTCCCTTCAACTCGTCGATCGCCAACGCAATGTCAACGAATGCATTTGTCTATAAATGCTCACCTTAGAAACTGATCTCTGGGAATAATCGATCGATCGACTCGCTCTTCCCGGGAAAAAAACGAACGAACGAGGTACCAGAGGGGGAGGGTTGCACAGTTTGCTCTACAATGGGCTAAGTGGCGTCTTGATCCGATCCAGTGAAGATACACTTGCGGCAGAAACGGAGCCCAGGGGAGCGGAGACTATCGCGGACGATGCTTTCGTCGGCGATACGACGACGTTACTTAAGGGACCGACCGCGATCGTAGACGCGGGTGAAATCAAATTAACTCTCGCTGTTGCGGATGCTGTAGAACTCCCGGAAGTGGTCGTCACGCTGCTCGAGCTCGATGCCGAACCCTCGATCTTCCTTGATTCTCTGCTATCTGTAAATAGATCGATTATACATGGAAATCGTATCGATATCCTGGGACCGGTAATTTAATTACTGTTGGTCTTCCATGAGAATAAGATGCAAGTAAGGTTTGATTTATTTTCCTTCGAATTCGACGGAAGATTAATTAATTTCAAGAAAGGAGCAGATTCATTTTCGATAGTTTTTTTTTGAGCAAATTACTATATTTATATAGAAACGATACTGCAACAAGGAAAGAGATAATTTAATCAACGAACCAATAAGAAAAAATTTTGAGAAATTTATCGATACGAAATCGAAAAGCAGAAACTATCCACCATTGTTTATCGAATCACTTACGAAACTTCCCCTCAAAATTCAATTCTTCGTCTTTATTAGAGTTCTCAAAAAGATCGCTCACCTGTCGCTAGACCGGATCCATCCTCGGAAACTGACAGGTTGGCGGCTGCGGTTGAGGCCACGCTGACAGATTCGGAATTCGTCTCGACAACGATTGCGGGAACTGCGACCGGTTGTTCGGTCGTGGAGACGGGAATCGGTAGGGGGGGAGCGGTTGGGCCGGCGATGATTACGGGCCCGGTCGAGGGGCCTATTACCGCGTTCGCTGACGCTACGCCTATTGTTCCTTAATTGGCGCCGACGATTCTTCAGCATTTTCGATTGCAACAACCGCTGACGTCGCGTTATTGGCGACAGAATTGTCGGACGGGGCCACCAACGTCACAGCCCCGGCCGAGGCTCCTTTGATGAGCACCGAATCTTCCGGCACATCTGAGACGACGACCGCCTCTGGAAAAAAAGAAATGGAATCAGAGGAACAGCACGAGAAATAGACGTTTCTTTTCGTCATTTAGCGTGCTCTTAAAAGAATAATAAATTCAGTAGCATTATTTGTTATAATTTCACGATTTAATTTTTTAAAGTAATAACGCACGAAATTGTCTGTATTGCGTTTCAATTAATAAGTTATCCTCGATATCATTCTTGCGTTATATACGCGCGCGATACAACACGAATACGTCTTATTCGAACAAAGTAGAGAGGCAATTAAAAGAAGAAAAAGTAAAGGAGCGAATTTATGTTAATCTGGCTGCGCGTGCTCCCTCGAACGCGCTTGAATTTATGAACCTATTAAATTCGTAATATACCGCGAAGAGAAACCGGGTGCCCATAAATTCGTAGCTTTATGTATCTCTATAAAAGGTGCGCGGTGTAAGAGCCGATACCGTCGTCGATTCCCTTGCTACTCGAATCGATTAGCATTGAATTCGTCGAATGGAATTTCTTCTTCTCGCGCAAAACTTATTCTCGACTCCTTTTATATTTATCAAAGATGGATTACTTTGAGCCGGGGAAGGTGTTGTTCGGGGCGAGATCACGGGCGTGCCAGGCGACACGATGGTGACCGGGCCAGAGGACGATCCCTCGACGAACGTGGTTCCCGTCACAGGGCCACGGATCACCGTTTCCACCTCCGGTTTTGCGGGCAACAGGCTCACAGGTGACAGTCCGTAAACTGGGCCGACCAACACCGTCGATTCACCGCCGCCCACCACACCGTGATAAGGCCAGCTGGTGGCGCGAACGGTTAAGAGAATCGATATCACGAGCTGAAACTGGAAAAAAATGGGCGTGATTTATTGGGACGAGTTTTCACGAACGATTCAACGTGGGCTGTCGTGGCACAATAGTTGAAATGCTTCCCGCCTAATCCCCGCCCATAAATGTCTCTCTCGTTAACCATATCTCGCAGATATATCTTTCGTCAACATCAGCACGAGTGGATACAATTATAATCGAGCATGGAAATGCTCGTAGCCCGCATTCCTATTACTTGCTTTTTTCCAAGTTTTAGATTAGGGAGATAATATCGGAATATTATTACGATAAAAGATGATAATATTTATTCGATCGAGTAATTTCAAAATAAGCAGAATGATGCGTTCAACAAATAAAATCATTCCTTGTTAAATATACGGATGATAAAGATCAAAGGGTTATATGATAATTTCGTATACATATGTAGTACATTTATAGAATCGATCCAAATGCACACTTTCAACATCGAGTCCCGAATATTCGAGGTATCCTTCGCCTATTGCTCATCGAATCTATTATTGATTTAAATGAATCAGAGTTCGAACTTTGACCTTCCATTTGCCCAACACCCGAGGAATTTAGGCCCCCGATATATCACCTCCTTCTCTCCCAAGTTTAACACTCGAGAAGTCCATTATCTCCCTCCGTAATAATAGCCACACCCGTGTTAATAACTTCGAACATTACCCGTCCAATCGACGCGATTTCTGCGGCAAATGGCCACCAACCATCCCGAATGTCGCCAATTTCTTCTCGCCTCGGATCGAAATGTATCAACGGGGGATAACCGATCGCGGTTTAACCACCGCCCGATCCATCGTTCGTTTCGTGCGATTCGAGAGAACAATATTCGACGGATAGAGTCGCCGCACGGATTTGCATAACTCGGTTTCCCGGCAAAAGCGCGGGAAGCGGAGCGTCATCACAACCACGATACGATTCCTCGAGATGAGTGAAACTGGTCATCGAAGGATCGTCGTTCGTTTCAACGATGAATTGAATTTTTATTGCGAATATATCGTGGAGATTTTAAGGAGTTTAAAATGGTCCAACGTTTGGAGAAACATCTCGATTATTCGTTACGCTTCGACGCGACGAAATTATGACGACGTCATAACTATAATTGTCACAACGTTATTATTAAGGTAGCCGTGACAATTATCCGACGTATTTAAACGGAATCAATGGATTACCCATCTTAATCAAAGTTACAGAAACGCGGCCATACGTTTCAATTATCCGACTGCCAGCCAACACCGTGCCGCTCTATATATCAGCGGAACATTGGTCAGAGAGACGGGGAGCCGTTCATATTTCACGGACGACACGAAAGTGCATTACGAGCTAACAGATTAAAGTTTTCTCATCAGGAACTACTGCACGGATTCCTCTCTCTCTCTCTCTCTCGTAACAGGTACTCTCGACGATCTACAATAAAGTTTCCGAGCTTACCAACTTCATGGCTGTCTCCTTCGACGAATCCTTTTTCTTCCCTCGCTATTCTTCCAAGAATTTTCCTTGCAATCCACCGTCGGCTACTGATCCATTTCTGACCGGCTTGAACAGTTATATACTCCATTACGTGTGCATTGTATACGTTATATATACTCGGATGATGAGTAAGGAAAAATGGCCACCGCGCCTTGTTTTTCTATCGGAAAGACTAGCTGACTTACTCGTGGAATTCCTTCGGCGGAAAAGCAGAACAAAGACCGGCACCGGCATGCACTGTGCGCATGTTACAGCGGGTTAGCCGCGTGTTCGAGACCAGTTTTCCACGTCGAATCGAACACTTTCGATTATTATGATGCAAATCTGATTTTCGTTCCATCGATCACTTTGCATTTCTCTTGCTCATTCTGATATTATAAGATATCTTTTAAGGATGCGAATAAAATAAATTCATCGATTCTTGGAAAATTATCATCGAATATTTTGTTGTTCAATCGAACACTTTCGATCACTTTGCATTTCTCATTGTGATATTATAAGAAATCTTTTAAGGATGCGAATAAAATAAATTCATCGATTCTTGGAAAATTATCATCGAATATTTTGTTGTTCAATCGAGATTGATTGGAAACGACAGCACGGCGTTTTCTTTTTTTACTTCAAGTAATGAGAATATATATTATATCGAACGTGTTTTAATAATTTATTAGAAACTCAACAAGATCAGACGCGTAGATCGATCAAAATAAAAACATAAATTTGAATTTATTATCGTATTGACCAGCTCGACTTATTCCTCACACACTCTGCTTAGCACTTCTACCTTAGTCTCCAAGTTTCAGTCGAAGTTTCAGTCACGGTTCCTCGTAGGATGGCAACGCAGGTTATCATATTCGAAGGTAGAGGCTCGCTGTGTTTCGCAAACGAGCAATCGAGTCATATTATTCGATCCCCCGTGTCGCGGCTCGAATAAATAACAAAAACCGGGGCAAAGGAGGAGAAAAATGGACCAGTCTGAGAAAAATACATCTTATTTAAAAGCCCGTTTCGTAACAAGTTTCGATACAACTTTCAAGGTATCGTTTCCTGCTTTTCTGTTCTCAACCGCGATTGGACATTTTTAGTCCGTCGTCATCGGCCGTATCTATCTATTCAAGGCCGTCCAATGCAAAATTGAAAGTCAATTTCGCAACATCTCGCGCGGATTGCATCTTACACGGTCGAACCCTAAATCGAAAACGATTTATGATTCCTCTCTCTCTCTCTCTTCCTTCTCGGGGTCGATGATTGGTCGGTGCTGGTAAACACACACGTGATAAACGGAAAGAAACGTTTGGAATGATGTAAAGGAAAAATGGAATAATATCATACGAGGTATGCAAATATACCCGTGGCCCCGTTCCCGCGTCTCGAAACTTCTGCAACATTCGCGCCGCGTTGCGTGCTCGCATCGAGATTTCTGATGCAACATTGGCGCTGTACGAGTTCATCGTTTTAGATCGTTGTCTTGATTTACGGGATTCTAGTCCCGACCACGCCCGCCTCGCGACACACCGACAGACCGGCCGGCCGACAGACCATTGAAACGCGATTGACACACATTCGTGCACAGGGTTGAGCGTGAGGCATACACGTATATATAGATTGGAAAATAAGAGTATAAAAGACAAACCCGATACCTGGATTTTCATCAGTCGCTTGCGATTTCGAGTTCCAAGAAGCTCAAGCAAATCAACACAAAATGAAATCCCTGGTAAGATTGAATACCCGCGAAAACTCGTGAAGGAGGCGAGACTGTTCTCAATTTTTTTACCACGGAAATGGAAAGATAATTCGGCATAATCGATCTTTCTTGTTAATTCTTGTGCTCCTCTACGAGAATAATAAATACTCCACCATCTTCAATTCTCATTCAGTAAATTTATATCATATTCTTAAGATTATTTTATTTTGTAATGTCATAAACTCGTACATCTCGTAACTGAAATTCGATAAAAGTTTTTATTACGAACATCTTTAATTGTCGATAATCATTGATGTAGATCCATTACGAGAAAGTTGTAAACGACGATAAGTAATCGAGTACGAGTATAGCACAGATAATGTCGTAAGAGAATTCGTTTAATTTACAGTTAATCCTCTTCGCCATCGTTGCCGTTGTGGCGGCTTTCCCCGAACCAGAAAGGGAACGCCGAGGAGTCATCGCGGCCCCAGCCTTGACAGCGCTGCCTCTTGCACCCACTATTGCTCTCGCAGCCCCTAAAATCGCCCCTGCTATCGCTCTCGCACCCGCCCCTAAACTTCTCGCGGCGCGTAAGTATTTCTGAGATCTCTTCTGCATCGAATAATTAACGAAGCTTGATTTAACTTGCGCTTAGTTTAACATCGGAATAGAATTTTTATTTAGTAGAACTGTATTTAATATCTTATGTCAATGATTAAGAAGTTTAGTTGAATTTTTATTGTTCATAATATCGACAATGTCATCCATTGTGAAAAATTGAAATTGAAATTAATTAAAATATTGTTGAAATTAAATATTTTACATTTCGATTATTTTTCGAATATTTTTTAAATAAAGGCATGCGAAATCTATTAAAGAGTTGAAGATTTATTAAGAAAATTTGCCATATTGCAGCAGCAGTTGTAGCCGCCCCAGTCCCGTGGAAAGCATGGTAAATCGTTATTTAACATCTTGGCGTAACTGGACTTTAAGTATTATACAACAAAACAATATATAACGATGGGAAGCTGTTCTCATTATGGAAAATTCGAATTCGGCTACATCCCCTTTTAGGCCGCAATCTCGATCGATCATTCCGTAATCGGCTGTGTAGAAAAATTATACATACCCCTTCTCCCTATTGTAATTTAAATTTTATTATCAGATAATAAACTTTATTTTAAAAAAATAAACCTTCGCCGCATTCTCTTCGAAACCCTCGATTCCTGCAACGAAACGAAACGGAATTAGTTAGATGTATGCGCACAGATAATTTCTATTAAATTTAATTTAATTAATAATTTTTATTCAACATATTTTATTTGTAGATATTTGATGAAAAATAATAAGATACGGGATGGATCGTAAAAATAGAATAATTTCGAACAATTTAATAACTTGTAACTAACTGTTGAATTTCATTATTAGTGATAATTAATCGATATTGTTCAAAGAACATCCTTTAATTCGAAATATCAATCGTTTGATCTTTCAATTATCACCATAAATTATTTCGCAGCCCGAGTGTTAATAATATTATAAACGTTGAAATTGGATGATTAATTAGCTAATTATCCGTGCACGACATTAACGCAACAATTGGATCACTCGCTCGCCGAAAGAATCGATTTGTTAATAACCTCGTGTCAAAAGTAATTGAAATGTGATAATTAAACACAATGTGTATCGACCATTGCTGGTTCAACAATGTGGAAATCTCTAATATAATGCGTTTCGAGCTAGATAATTTGCGTTTATTAGACACAAGTATAAAATTGTTAAAAATAGAAAATAATAAATTACTAGCGCACAATTACTAATCAGTAATATCGTTGTTGCTCTTTCAAATTAGATATGATTTGTCCATTTTAATTAATCAAATGGATTCATCTTGATTAATAAACGAATCCCTTCGTTGAAACGCAGCAAAATTCTTTATTTGTCACGCCTCGAAACCTGAAACATCGTTGTCAATATTAATAACGTGTAAAAGCGTATCTTTTTAATACCTGTTGTTTGATTCCTCATCTTTATTCTTTTGTCACCGTAGCAAAGCCAAATTGCAACGAAAAAAATTACTCGCGCTGTTTAAACCGCAGTCTCAAAGTATCAAAGCCGCTCGAATTATCCTGGATTCATTATTTCGCGTGTCCTTTCATTGGCAGCGGATATAGGTGGAAGAGTAACGGTAACGGGTTTCAACAAACTAATTAGAAACTGGGGCGACAGAAGTTCCGCCAACTTTTACGGTTTCTCAAGCAAATCGTTAAACTTCGGTTAAACGAGATATCAACTTATCTCTGCGACTTTAAGGAATGGAAAATTATTCCAGAGAGTAGAGTGGAGCTTCATTTATTAAATATACAAAATCGTGTAACGTGTATATGGATAATAATTACAAGGAGATACGCGAAAGAACCTCGGAGAAACTCGGATACGTCGTCCATCGTGTGAATCGAACACACCTTTTGTTCGTCTCGAGAGAAAAAAAAAGAAAAGAAAGCAAGAATAATTATTATACATAATTCGTTCCATTCGAATCCGTTCAAATTACGAGTCTTCGATTCCTCGATGTGGAGCAACGTTGAGCTTTTCTTGATCCAAGTCCCGCGGATGGAGGTCGATGAGAAGCCGTTTCCATGTTCACGAGAGAAATCGTTCGAGTTGTCTTAAGCTGTGGGGAGGAGGAGGTGGTCGAATCCGGGGGATCGGTCTACCAATGCGCTGCTGGCGCCACCACCGCTCCTGCGGGGCCAGCCACGACCGCTGCTCCTACGCCAAGGAAACGGATTCTTTAATACACGCTATATCCTCAAATTTTCACCTCTATTTTATAATTCTACATTATTCAATATCTAGTCCCATAATATCCATAATAATGTCCTTTGAACCCTTCATATATCGCATATGAATCAGATTCACAACAACGCGCTCATTAAACACGAATCAAATTAATCCGTATAATTATCTGGAAACGAAATTGTTCCAATGGCCATTATCATATTTGATGCACACGTATTTTCCTAATTTACATCGGTTGTCAAACGTCGCATAAATCGTTCCAACATTTAAAAATCGAGAGGCTTACCTGCGGCGGGTCCAACGACCGCAGCTGGGCCAGCGGCGGGTCCAGCGACCACGGCGGAACCGGCGGCTGGCCCAACCACAGCCGCAGCCGGGGCAGCAGGGCCGACGACCGCTGCAGCCGGGGCAGCAGGGCCGACGACCGCCGCAGCTGGGCCAGCAGGCCCTACGACCGCTGCAGCTGGGCCAGCAGGCCCCACGACCGCCACGGAAGGTGCCAGTGCGGGTAAAACGCCACCCAATACCACTGCTCCATTGTGTCCCCAGCCGAGGGAGCGACGCTCGCGATCGGGGCTGGCTGAAGCCATGGCCAGGGCAGCGACGAGGACGATCTGCAATTTTCAAGGAAAATTTGGTTAATAACATTTACGATTACATAGATTAGATTGATCAGGATTAATTTTTTACGCAATGATTATTCGAGTCAGTGGTGTTGGAGTATTTTTGCGCGGGAATAGAAGGAAAGCGAGGGGATTCGAGCTTCGAGTCAGGAAGCTGGTGCCATCTAGTTTCTTTTCAGAAGACTTAGTGCATTAATATGTTTATAATCTGTTCTCTCTCTCTCTTTCTCTATATATATATATATTGATTAAGCAAGATTAGGCAACTGCATCAATAATGTAGTTTGAAAATTTGACAAGTTTAATTTGCAAAATTCAAGTGAATTTAATCGACCAATTAATAGAAGTTATATAACACAAGTGTAAAAATGATTTTATGATATCTCACCGTGTACTTCATATTGATTGCGTTGTGGTTAGTCTTTAGCTTGCTAGTGACTGATGCTCAACCCCTCTGACACGTCGCCTTATATACCGAAACTGATCGGCAAAACCGCCTTGTGCAACCTTCAACCCCGAATGAAAGTTGGAATAAGAAACGAGGCAGGGTGCGGTCAGCTGGATAAGCGACACTGCGGAGTTCCGTGTCCAACGTCACACGTTGGACAGGAATTGTTATCACGCGGAGACGTGCACCAGCCTCGAATAGCGCTGCCTGTTACCGCAATAACGGTTGTTGCCAGAGAAATAGAATTTTCCTGTTGGTCAGCAACACGTGTTGGTTGAATCCGCTGATCATCCTCGTGTCTCGACGAAACGTTGATAGCAGATCGTTGACAAAATCGTTTAGAATCGGAATTCTCTCTCTCTCTCTCTCTCTCTCTCTTATTATATTTCGAACTCGCATCTTGCAAAATGATCGATGATGCTTTCTATGGAAATGAAACGTTGGTTTCGATGGTTTTCCTTGTTTCGTAACCAACGGGTATGCTTGTTCGCGCGAGTTGAAATTCAATGGAGAGTATATAAATTCAACGAGATGATAATGAGCTGGGAAACTCTTCATGCGTGTAACGCGGATAATTTATTATTTATTTTGATAACTCTCTTGAGTTAATTATCTGTAATCTCGTGTAAAATTATTTACGAGTGAATCGTATATTAAATTTATTTCGTTCCTTTTGAGATACAGTTTATTATAAAAATGAAGCGAATAAGAAAATTTACGTGAAATTATTGAACATTCGTGTATATCGATAATGAGAATAATGTTTTTTTCTTTTCTTTTCTTCGATTAGAAACCACCGGAATTTTAATTCTCCTTATATTTTTCAATTATATTTTTAGAAAGATTAAATATCGCCTCATACAATTCTACTCAATTATAAAAAAATTTCATTTATTTATCTAGAATCAATATATAATTTCACAATGTATGTATTATTTCTTTTATACAATATATATTTCACACTCTTCTACATTCTCTTATCATCATAGACCTACAATTTAACACCAATGTATCGCTCGACGCATCATCGAATCATTCACGTTCTTCCTTTAATTAGCTGCAACGACGAAACCATTACCATAGCCTAAAAAGTAAAAAAGAAGAAACGCGCGCGAGATAAATCAATTTCCAGCTACGAATTCACGGAAACGCGGGCGCAACAACTATTGTTCCTAGAAAAAGAATTTTCCCGTGGCAAAGAATAAACGAGCGTTGATCGAATAAAACAAAAGCAAGGGGGAGAGGGTGTGGTGGTTGTTCCGCTTCGCCCTTTTATTTTCGGCCCAGGCCGAACAATTTTCGCGCGATGGCCGCGGTAATCCGTCCTTTGAATCGCGCGCACACCGGACAGGAATGGCGTAATTGCGCGTGTCAGATTTTGTCGAGGGAGGGTGGCACGCGAGGCCTTTGCACCCGTTTCGAATTTACGGGCCAACCACGCTCCCCGCCAAACTTGGGAAGAGTTCCGTCGCTGATGGAATAATTGGGGAAACTTTGGAGCTGCCGAACGAGGACTTCCGCTGTTTAGGGAGAAATTTCGAGTGGCGAGTTGACTTGGCATTGGTCACAGTCCTCCCGATGGATCGTGGAAATTGTTCTCGCACGGTCAATTTCAGCTTAGATTAGATTCGAATGGAATACTTGTTTGTGGCTAATCTTTCTAATGATTTTTGAACACTGTTAAAAAATTAGCGAATTATTGTACCAAGATTCGAAATGGAAGTTCGATTTAAAATACTATTCGTTCGATATTCATTTTCGTGCAACTGTTTTCATCAGAGATGATTTCGATAGAATAAACTTACGCACGGTATAAAAAAGAGAAAATTTTGTTCACAAATTACAATAGTTTCCTCGATGTCCACATTATACGGTATGTATTTACAAATGGAAACGTTTCAAAAATTCCGAAACTTGGTTATTTTAAATGGAACCACCGCCGCAATTTTTTATCAGAAAATATTAAACGTTTCTAGATTTCATTTCTAAAATGAAACACACTTTTTTTCTTTTATCCAAAAATATTAAACGTTCGTTTTTACAAATGAGATATTAATTTAATTTTCACTCTTTCTCTCTCTCTTCCCCCACAATAATCATGAATGCGTTTTCCCTCAACACATTTCGATCGATTCTAAACCAATAACAATTTCAATATCTAAACCAGTGTTAATGAGTCCCAAAGCCGTTTAACAATTTGCCGGTGAACAACATCGCCTTTCCCGCAAATGCGGCCTCCTATCGACCAAACGGGTCACTTTATTATTCCATTATACGGTCGTTCGTGTGCAAGGGGATGGAAGTGAAATTCGGCCATCGACGTCCACTTCCCTTTCCACCCGCGATTGGCCCGTTTACGTGACCTTTCAACCCTGGACTCGAAAGCTTGGATTCAGCTTCGGCTGATTCCCAGGGGGGGGGGGGATTCGAAGATTGGGATAGATATTGAAAAGTTGAGACCTTTTGTGACGAGTTCGTGAGACTATTCCTTTCCACGAATAGATTCGTCTCGATTCGCGAAGCGTCTCCTTCTTCTTCTTCTTCTTCTTCTTCTTCTTTGTGTCAAAAAGGGTATCGACAAGGGTTTCTGCTGCTATTCGAGTATACAGATTTTTCGATCGATCGTGGACGATGTATTTTGGGAACGATATATATCGGGTGATTATTGGTAGTGGAAATGATGGAATTCTGATTAATATTTCTTGGGGGAGGGGCGGGGAGGGGATTGGGAGTAGGTCGGGCGAGAATAGTCGACGGATGCATTTGGAGATTTATCGATGAGAGGGGAGCTCGGTTGAGCTGAATCCTTTTGCATTTCACGATGAATATTTCAGATCGACCGACTGACATTTTAAGGTGAGCCGGTGAAATTATTTTACACTCGTATTATTTTTGTTTCATACTCGTAATTTGCAAAAATTGGGACATTTAATTGGACGAGTTTAACGGCAGCCAGACCGTTTGAAGAGTTCCGAAGGAATTGATACAATCGATATTTCTTCATTGTTTGAACTTTTAATTTAAAAGTGTTAATCGATTTGTTGAAAGTTTGAAGAATAAAGGTATTCTAGAATTAAGAAGGTCATTCATCCGGGAATAAATCGAAAGAAATAATAAAGTTTTAATTATAACGGGAATTTAAAAAGAATTTTGAGTGAAATGAAAATTCTTACATGCCATTATTGTTAGATTATAAATGTTACATAAAATATAAATAGATACATAATAACAGGATAAAAGGATAAAACCCTGTAATAAAAAAGCTAATTCAGCATTCATAAAAGAAACGCGTAATAATAACTTGGAGAATGGAGAATATACCGTTTGAATTGTATTCCAAATATAACTTAGAATGTAGAACGACCTTCGTCACCTACAAGATAAATGATAAATTATATCTATTTATGACGAAATAAAAAAATATGATAAACAAATATACACAATATTTACATATGCACATAATTTTACATACCATAACAAGACCATCATGCGTATTTTCTTCACATTAATTAATTATTTGAACGTGTCTTAACTCATTATTCGCGCAACAAATTTCAAATTTGAAATTAATAATTTTATGAAACATTTACACGCTCCCCTAATAATTGTATGTTGTAAATTATCCAATTTCAATTTCGTAATTCTCTCTAATAATCATGCTCTTTGATTACGTTCAATTAACTCGCAGAATTAATATCGTATTTCTAAATTAATTAATTAATTAATCGTTCGATGACTCGATTCAAATTTTTCTCACTTGTTCGCTGTTTCTTTGTTACACGAGACGTTATAATTAGACGAAACAATTAACTTCATTAATAATTAACCACGGTTGCGGTGAAACGTATATATATATATGCGCAAATGCAGTTTTCCCTCGTTGAAACATATGTACGAACACGCGAATAGAGAATTAAACGCGAATGGTTCGTTGCTCACTTTGGTTACCCTGCACGAGCACACGTGCAGGCTGATATCGCATATTGCCGCCCGATAATCGTATGCATCTCATTGTCTGTGCTCAGAACGTACCGTTAACCGTTCCAAGGATAAAATAAAGTTTAATTAATTCGATACGTCTCATAGATACGTCCATAATACGTTTGATCCACGATCGTTGATTCGATTTGAAGCGGATTGATGAATGAGAAGAATAGAGAGGGATGCTTGTGACGCCTATGGCCATTTTTTCCTGAAAGCCTCATCAAAATGTTAAATCATTTAATTGACATGCTTTTTTTTTAGAAATTTGGAATTAAAATAAAATACTTACGTTTACTTTTAATTTTTATAATATGCGCATTTTCCATTTCTCAAATGGAGATTTTTAATCCCCTCCCCCTTTTCGAAAGATATTTTATACCCTCGATTAAAAATACTGTTTTAAATATTACCATTTTTCCATTTTCAAAGGCATTTATCAATAGGCAGGCATAAATCCATGAATATTGGAGAAAATATATAATGGACACGATATATTAATACCAGTTACATTATTTTCTCTCTCTCTCTCTCTCTCTCTCTTCTATCATCAAGCCTTTTCTCTATATATAATCGGATACCGAAAAAGAATACCTTTTCACAATTTACCATTCAACGTTATTATTAAACGTTTATTTATCAAAATTGCATATTCTCCGTTTAACTCTTCCCCACTAAATTGCACGATAATCCAATCATTTTAATTTGCATAAAAATTTCATAATAAATAATTACTCGCAATCTAATCTATCTCCCTTCTCTGGGCCTTTCCAATTTCCTTCTCCATTATTTTCAACATTTCGATCAACACTTCGATCGAACAAAAAAAAAAAATCTATCTCCTTATTTCTCGCATCCTCTCGTCCATTCCTCCCCCTCCCTTTCCCCGGGAGAAACCCAAGCGCGTATTTTCCACCGACAATAATGTCGAACTCGATACACAACGTTATTATCGATTATCATACTTGACATTTCTTCGAGGACCGTTACAGGTCCTTGAAGAGAAAATCCGTGGCGTAACACAGAACGATAGCTCGATGGCTCGATCTGAAATGGAACAGTTCCACTTGTCAATTGGCGTACTTGGCAGTGAACCGATTATACAATTGCCACGCGTTGTTACACAAGCCGGTTTCCCCAAAGGATTTTTCGCGTGGGCAACGGGTGCACAGGTGCCACCAGCTCTGCCCTCCCGCACTTGGGCCCTACGTGGCGGAGGCGCGCCTTGAAATATTCATGATTCGAGAGTTGTCTCTAAACGCGTCCTGAATCGAACACGGTTGCAAAATTATTCGTACGTGCCTTTTTCGCGTGGGACGGCATCGGATGCTGCGAATTTTAAAGGGGGTGTTCAAGGGGTTCGTGTAAAGATGTACTCTCTCATTTTGTTGCAAGCGATTTTTTTTTTGTGAACTTTTTATCGTGTATTCATAATTAATATAACACACGTAGTCACGAATGTATCGTGTAGCATCGTCTTTAAATTCATCGATGGGATGGATATCAGAATTCAGTTTATATCTCGAAGGAGAGAGGAAATTATTGGGAATATTTTAGATTATCCCGAAGCAGGAACAGTTTGTTCCTAAAATGGAAGATTAAGCAGATTTAAGATGTACAAATATTACAGATATAATACTATTTATTTCATATAATTAATAAAAGTAATAAGTTTTCCCTTTCTACACTTTTACAAGCGTAATATGTTTCCATATAGAATAATCTCTCTTTGTATAGTCTTGAGTGGGAAAGACGAGAGGTAGAAGTTACGGAGCTATTGATTCTATTATTCGTCAATGAGCTTTAGCGAGTACAGATGCAAGTCCTGAAAATTTAATTATTTAATCATTAATAATCGCCTCTTTCGAGCTTACATTCATATTCAAAAACTTGCCAAGAACGGGTGCAGGTCCAGAGAGAAGAGTGGGCCCAGCCGATGCCCCTCTGAGTATTGTCGGTCCAGCGGAGGGACCGGCAACTAGTGTTGGCCCGGCAGCTGGCCCAGCAACTAGCGTCGCGCCAGCATGCGGCCCAGCAACGAGCGCTGGAGCGGCAAGGGGTCCAGCAAGGAGAGCAGAGGGCCCTGCGAGAAGCGCTGTTGGGCCAGCAACGAGCGCTGGGCCAACGGCAGGTGCTGCGAGGAGCGTCGTTCCTGCGTGACTAGCTGCTGTCAGAGCCCATGGGGCGAGAAGTCCGCTTGGAGCAGCTGAGCAAACTGACGCGATCGCTACGAGGATGGTCTGAATGTGAAATTGAACAAGAAAAAAAAAAATGTTATACTTTTCATCCGATAATTCCAAGCAAATAATATCTCTTATGTGAAAATAATTGAAGAAAATCGAACTTTTTCTTATTTATATCAGTTAAAAATACGAATGATTTTGTAACATGAAAAACGAAATTCTGATTCTTTTTGATCCTAATTACTTCTTACAATGGAAAAAAAGAAAGATATAAAAATAAGCACTTACCAAGCACTTCATGACTGCCCGATCCGTTTCTTAACTATCTTGTCTATCGCGTTAATTGCGACACTGCTAATCAACCCCGTGACATCGGCTTTTATACTCCGCTCTGACCCTGAATCTCCCGCTTTCTCGGCCTTTTTCATCCAAGAAACGTCACAGAAACAGCGACCGTTGCCGGATGCACGACTATCTCTGTAAAACGAAAGAATTTCCACGTCACGCGAGCTATTAAACTCGTCGAGGAGCAGGCCAGCGACTTAGTCCATTCCGTGGTCAATCGCACTTCTCCTCTGGAATATCAAAGTTTACGAAATTTAAATGAATCGACGTTATCCACTTAGAACAATTCAAGATCCAACAACAATTTTGAACTTGTCGCTGTGATTTCGTACTCGTAGATGGCTTGGAATCTTTGAAACGGTGTGATGACTCGTTAAACCGGTGTTGATCCGTGACACGTGTAACGTGAAGTGTCTCTTTCTTTTCGATCGCCGAGGAATGCAACTGGTGAACGTTTCGCCCATTTTACGGAGAAACGCGAAAGCTTTGCGAACTAATCCGCTTTCAGAACCGAATTCTCGATGTACCAAGTATTAAGTACATAATTCCAAAGCTTCGAAACCTCAAGTAACTCTAACTCCAAACGCGGACCGCGCCAGGGAAGAAAGCGTTTGATTAACAATGCAAGTGGTGGAGAATGCGCTCCTACTTGAATTCGATATCGGAACGGAAGGAAAGTATTGTATATTTTCTAGATATAGCGAGGGAATGTAAAATTTTCTTCTCTCGTGAATTTTTAAAAAATCTACATTTCAGACTATCATTAAATTTCACTACATAATATACAGAAATATTCGTAGATTTGTATGACATTTCCAAAAAAATCGTCATTACGTCACAAGGATTTGAAGGAGTTGAATTAGATTTACAGCATCTTCGATCGAAATTTCAAACGATAAAATACAAATTTCTCCCCAAATCGAAAATTCACATTAATTTGCCAAAAATTAATTATCGTCGATTTACTAATAAACGTTTCGTAATTGTCTCACTCGTGTATAAATCGAATCATCAGATATAACACATTGGCGATGGTGTAATACTTGTTGCCGCTCGTGGACAATGCGTTCCCTTTGAAATGGTAATAACGCTGGTGGCCATTAATAATTCCGTCCGCGATCCCTCGGAAACGGGCATCGCAAAGAGGACGCGTCTTCGAATTTCCCGATGTGCTTGAAAACGGAGAATTTTGCGTGCCGCTCTCGGATATCAATGAGGGCCGACGAAGAGAATGGCCGGATGATTGGATCGGCGTTGAAGCAATTTCCTATAATTACCGGGCAAAGGTATCGGCGCGATGGCACAATAGGCCTCGAAATGGAGGATGATGATATTCATCCATAGCTCGAACAATCTGTTCCACGATCGTTGTCACTTTAATCGGGGACTTGCACTTCGATACGGCTGCCTTTACTTTGATCCTTCGAGCGTGAAACCATCGGAGAGAATCCCTGAGTAATTTTTCGTAAAATTGGAAATTTACGATATTTTGGAGATCGTTATAAGATCGATAAGATTTCTTCTTCTTTATTATCGAATTAATTTGAAATGTTTAATTTTCAATTGAAGATGTAGTAGAACGTCGTTTTAACATTTTGCTATTCTGAAAAGTGAAAAATATCGATAGTTAGTCGTCAACGAAACTGTTGTCTGTTCATGAATTAATTTTCTTCTATCAAATCCTATCTATCATATCTTGAGTTGTAACGGAATAAATGTTTGGAAATTTTTTTATTTATTCGTACGATCGTACGATATTCATTAGAACGCGCAAAGATTAATCTTTCATCGTCGATACATGCACACGCGTGATTCGATTAGAAATTGATTTTCCAAATATTTTTGTTACCTCGATCGATCGACACGTTAGACTCGTTAATTGTTCCAGCCAACAAAGACAATATCGAAACTTGGTTGGCCGTTCTCTCGCGCAGTGGTCGTAATTATACCGTTGGAACATTTCCGGCCTCGAAACTTTGAGGAACGCCATTGTCCTCATTACAACATTTGGTCTTTTGTTTCAACCGTACTCGAGGACGCGTTAAACGAACTTATTTTAACCCCGTACAATTGAAATTCACGAAACAATGCTCGTTCGAACGTTCACGATAGCAGCCGTGTTCGATTATTCGTGGAATAATTATTTCTGCACGAGAATTGCCGAATTCAATGAAATTTCCTCGAACACGATCGACACGATCGACGAGAGGTGGGAGAAAGTTGTTGACGAGCCACGAGAACTCCTCTCCAAAGTGGCATGCGTTTTTTATTATTATTATATATAAAACAAGACATATAAACGATACATCGTTATGTACACAGAGTAAACATACAAAAAGATAGATCGATGGAGGTACTAGCGGTATATGACGGAGATCGGTCCGTTTCGAAATGGCAGGCGTCGGAGGAGATCAGTCGAGGATGCGTCCAACAAGCGAGCGAGGGATTACCAATGTCCATCCGCGCGAAGGATACTTCCCACGCCAGCCGGACCAGCTGCTATGCTGCCCGATGGGCCAGCGATCAATGCCGGGGCGGTGATGGGGCCGGCCAGGGCCGCTGGAGGTGCAGCGGGTCCGGCCAGAACAGCTCCTGGAAACATACAAATTCTCCACGATTAACCACGTAAATAAAATATCGTTGAAACGAGTTCACTTCGTTCGAGTCGAGCCCAGCCTCGATTTATCGATCCATTGTGCCCCAATATATTATATATATATTAAATTTAACTAATATTAAATAATTTAATTACGTGTTCAAAGAACCTTTGAACCCCGGAACGCGGCCGAATCCAACGACGAAAATTACGAAAGGAATATCAAGGATCAAATTAATATGTCCGTGAGTTTACTCACCCCAGGGAAGGGCAGGGGCGGCTGGCCAGTGTGCCGCCGGCCAGGGTGCGGCGTGGCCTGCAACGCTGCCTGAGACGAGGGAGGGGCCAGCAACGGCTCCTGTGACGACAGCGCCACCGTCCACGGCTCCGGAGAGGCGAGCGGGTCCGACGGCGGGTCCGGCGAGGGCGGCGGGGCCCGCCACGGGGCCGCTGAGGGCGGCCGGGCCGAGGATCGGGCCCGCCAACGCTGCCCCAGGCGCCAGAAGGCCGGAGGGGGCGGCCGAGGCGATCGAGAGGAAGGCCGCGACGAGGGAGACCGCTGCGAAGGTGCGCATGTTTGTCGAGAAAGGGTTGGTGGGGTGGTGGTTTGCTCGCTTCCAAAGCTGTTGGAACAGTTTGCCTCGGTGGCTCGAGTGGATGTGCTGTCATCCGGCTGGCTCGATGCTGCTTTTATATACGGCAGCATTGTCTACTGGCCGCCCAATGCTCCCCCAAGGGCGGGGCACAGGACACGCCGAACATTCTCTGGCTTATCAGCGTCGAGAGAGTCGGCGGCGACTCGCGGCCCACCCGTGCCCCAACAGGTCACCCGCTCCAATTCGACGTTGCATCCGTTTCAGCGATTGCCTTTTCCCCCTTTTTCTTTCTTCTTCTTTTTCGCCTTGCCTGCGGCCTTGCGTAGAACACGGCTACTACTCCGTCGAGCAGAAAGATCGACACGCAGATACGCGCAAGTTTGACTGTTTAATGGCACTGTTGAACGTGGGTAGTCACGGTTCGGGGGTTTGTTTCGAAAAATGCGTGATCGGCCTCTCCGAGTTTTTCGACTGTGTTGGTCGAAACGAATTTCTTTCAAATTTGTCACTGCGTTATTTAAATTTTAGGATTCACATTCTTTGAAGGAATTAAAGCTTATTTATTATCAAGTCGCAATTTATATATCTTTCAACTACAAAGCTAGCTATCGAAAAAGCAGGTTAACAGGTTCCCTCTATCGACGAGACGAACGAGTTTTCAGGGTCGAAGGAACCTGTCATCGCGGTTGAAGAAGAGCCGTTTCGTCTTATCCGTCCCATAAACGAGGAGATCGAGTGGGAGGCCACTGTTCCTTTTCTGATATCCGCATTGTGCGTGGATCCGTTTAGGCGAGGCACTCGGTTGCCCACGCGGCTGGATTGTCGCCTGGAATGACGGTCTCATTGTAGTCGGATACGCGTGTGTTACGGTGGCACCAGCCTCGCAATGGATCACCGAGCCTCGTGCCACGGATCGTTTCGAATATCATTGTTGGGCGTAGCGCGCACTTTCGAAGGTGGTAAAGGTGACCGGCGACGCGATTGTTCGAATAATTGTTCCCAGGCGGAGGCCAAGTCCTTTAAGAGGGGCGGATTTAATTGCGAGGGAAGAAGTAAAGGGGACCATCTTTTTCTCGGAATAATCTCCCTGCTTCTTGAAAAGATCGCCGCTTTTTCTTCTCGGTTGCTTATAACAATTCCTCTTATTCAACGGGGCGGAGGAAATCTTTTGAAACTTGTCATTATATTCCATGTTATTTTATATCATTTGTAAAGAGAAACCGTACGAATATATACTTTTTTTTCCATTTTTCGCTTTCCAGAGTAAATTTATTCTCTTCGTTCCGATCGAAATTTAATTATTTTTTTCGCTCGTAACTTTTCCCCCTCCTATTTTCGAGAATAATTAATGCGAAATTTTGACTCGATTCCGGAGGAGACCGCAGTATTTATGCATCACGAACGTTTCCATTTACGAGCTTTTAAAAAAAATTGTAAATGGAAGATTGGCGTTACGCAGGTGTTCAGGATCAGATATCGAAGATCACGCGATGTCCAATCGAGAACGGGGACATATTTCTTGGCGTGACAGGTGCATAAAGGAGTGACGGATCAAGAACGACAGGGATATTTGATTTACGGTTATCGCAGGCTAGTTTTACACGCGACTATGCACCTTTTTCACAGCGGCCGGATAGAGAATTTGGTGGAAAAATAGGTGGAAACACCGACAAATGCGTCGCTCTTGTTTCTCGATTGCGTGTCCCTTTTTGCCGCCAGAAATAATGCGCATCGTTGGACATGTGCAACCGGTTTACCATTACAAAGTTCGAAATGGGAAATAGAAGAGGATTATCAAACCGTTTTAGAAACGGGATCCCCCCATTGTTTCGATTCTCGAATAACATTTGTCCAGGGATATTGTTTTCCAATTTTGTCCGACATAATTTTCAATTTACAGTCAATTTACAGGAAATAGGCAGATGGTGGGAAAAAAATTTACGCGAAAATATTTGGAATAAAAGCTAAGGGATAACATTGATGTTGCATCGAAATTGCATCGACGTACGGTTATATATTGGCGAGCAGATTTTGGTTGAAACTGATTAAATATGTCAGTTTCCATTAAATTGTAAACGAAAGTTGAGGCAATGATAATAAAACCATTTTGTGCTTCGCGTGACACTGATCCAAGTCAATATCGATCCGAAAATAAACGAATAAAAAGAAAAAAAAAGAATTGATTCCTCTCTGAAAATAAAACTTCAATCTTATCAAATATATGTTTTATATGAGAAGAAAAAAAGATTCGCTCGTTATTCGATTATTATCGCGATATTACTTCAGCCTTACCGAAAGCCTGTATATTTCTATACAATTATAAAAAGGAGGAAAGAGAAGAAGGAAGAAGAAGTTGGGAAACACTGCGGCACACAATTGTTATTTCGATATCCGAACGCTGATCCAACGCCGATAGATCATTATTATGTCCCGCATGGGTGTGGTGTCACCAGTTCGATCCAATATTGCATCACCTTATTTACACCTTTTTTCTGCACGAGACAACACGAGCTTTTTCACCCCGTCACGGTCCACCAGGCCTGGGGCCACCAGCCCCGCCCTTACCCCCGATAAGTTCACCGACCCACGTGCTCCCGTGTGTCGCCTATAAAAGCTCACTTGCCATCAACTTGCACGCCAATGTTCCTCCGTGATGGCCGATGGAAAGTCGCTGCTCGGAATCTCGGTGGCCTCAGTCGTTCGCAAGGGGACGTGCCACGACTGTCCACCTATCTCGACCGGATAGAGAAGTCGAGAGTAATGCCGAGGGCGTGATCGATGGATCGTTCGAGATTCTCAAAACTCTGGCCTCCCTCTCTCGGTGGAAGACTGCTCCGATCAACTGAAATGGAAGACGAGCCTCGATCCTCGACCAACTTCCAACACGTCGACGCGCCAACTTTCAGGTAAGAGACAAGTTTAACGTTGACTAGAGGCAAACGTTAAACGAGGAAACTTGTTTCGTTTGTTCGAATTAATTAATTAATTGCTACATTTGGGGAAAATGTCATGGGACTTCCAAGATTTCAACAACTCGCGTTTTATCGAATCGGAAAAAATATTCGTTGTCGCGGATAAAGTTGGCAAACAAAATTGAAAATCCCAAGATTTTCGAAATTCTTACGTACGACTGAGATATACAATATTCGAGAATCCAACTCAATCCAATATTATCTCGAATTTTCCAACTTTTTCTCGCGCGCACATCTCCTAATATTTATCATGCACAACTTTGGAACAAGTTGCCGGAGAAATCCGAGAATGTCTCTTCTTCCTCCTCCCTCTCGTTTGAAACGAAAGAATCAGACTGTGACGCGTACAAAACGGCCGCGTTTCTCAATTTTCACGACGGTGGTGCATCGGTCGAGCGGATCGGGGTGTGAATAACGATCGAGGCAAGATGGAGAGAGAGAGAGAGAGAGAGAGAGAGAGAGAGAGAGAGAGAGAGAGAGAGAGAGAGAGAGA